TCACATATTCATGCTAAAAATGTGAAAATTCTCGGGGAGGGTCAAAAATCACGTGCTTACACACTTTAATATTAAAATGCACTAACACCAACATTCACCACGCTACATCATTTTGTAAAATAGGTATTCACTATGTTATTCATTTTTTAAATTTTTGAAAAAATTTCAGTTATAGTGTCCTGTTTTTGTGTGTGTTTTGTGCTTTAAGAAACGATGCCGAATATATCAACACTGATTTAATGCAACAAAGTGTGGCAAATCGATCACATATTTGTACATGATATCACATATATAAATTGATATTTCTTTTTAATGATATATACCATTAACATACCATTTAAACGTTATGTTAAATGATATATATAATATCATGGAGTAGTGTTGTATAAAAAAAAGGTATATTACTGTATCTATATATTAGATATATATAGTAAATATGATATATGATATTTAATAACCTCTCAACTGCTTATATATATATATGGGAAGACAACCAATAAGATGAGATTTTTCTTTTCTTTTAGCATGATCAGGCCGGGTAAGTATATCTATCTCTATGATGAACAAGAGATTGAAGCTAAAACATGTATCATGGTAGACACCCTAAGATTGATATTTCCATGGGTCAAAATTGGGCTTCATCGTCATGGGTTCATTTGGGCTGTTGATTTGTAATGGGTTAACTTGGGCTAGCCCAAATCAAGCCATCTTCAATACTGGTCCAGCCCAAACAGATTAAAATTTGGACAGGCTGGGCATGTCAAATGGGTTCGGATTAGTTTTGCCACCCTTACTTATAGTGCAGTTTCAGGCATTGGTCCTAGCAAAGTCAGGAGAGGTGATTAGCTTGGACATCTGAGAGATTCAAGGTAGTTTTGCATACCCGTTCATAGACTCTGGTGTCACCTTTCCTATTTTTTTTACTGTTTATTTGAATCAGATATTGTTGTACTTCATTTTAGACTCTATAATTAATACTCTTTAATAGCTCATGTACTTAGTAATACCTATTTTGGGAGGTTTTTATGTCAGTCTTATTATTTTTGACTTATTGTGTTGTTATAGGAGCTTGGACTCTTTATTTATGATATATTTTTTTTATATGTCTAGTTTTCTTCATTTTTATTTCTATCTATGAGTTAGGCGTCATCACAATCCCTTTAATTGAGATTTTGGGTTCTGACAATTGATTCAAAGAAGGTATCGAACCAGGTCGGCTCAACGGGCATATCTGCTCTGACGCCTTTGACCCAGATCGGGGGCGACTTTCATTGGCATATATGAATACTTCAGAAAACAGCAAGGCGAAAAAATTTCTATCGACGGCAAAAAACACGGAAATTAAAGAGTGTCAGTGGTATAGTTAGAGAAAGAGAAGTCACCATTGAGTACCGAGTAAATAATGATTAATTAAGAATTAAAAACAATGAAGGGGTACAATGTTTTTGATTCTCTCTTGCATGTTTGACGCATTTTCACGTGCACGCATGAATGACTCAACGTCATAACCGTCGGATAGTATCAAATTAAAATTACAATTCAATAAAATTAAAAATTTAGGAGATAATCGTTGTACGGTATTAATTTAAAATTACTGTTTAATTATGAAATTACTAAAAAGTCTAGCGGCTGAAACCGTTGNGGTGCCTAACACCTTCCCTCGGGTCAACAGAATTCCTTACTTAGAATTTCTGGTTCGCAGACTTCATTTGGAAAAGTCGAAAATTTCCTCGATTTGGGATTCAAGATAAACCGGTGACTTGGGACACCAAAAACCAAACCTTTCCCAAGTGGCGACTCTGAATTAAATAAATAATCCCATTTCGAATATCGTCACTTAAATTGGAAAAACTCCACCCGCGCATCTTACCCCTCGGGGTGGGGCGCGCAAAAAGGAGGTGTGACAAAACCCTAATACAAAAACCAATCATGTGTAATCAACCATCATTCAGGTTAATTAATAAAAACAATAAAATCTCAAAACAGAAAAATCAAAAAAATATTAACATGAAAGTAAAGGCGATCCACACAAACAATCGTTGTTAGAGAAGGATGAAGCCTCCAGGGAGTTGAAAAAAGATCCTTCAGGAATAGATCCACAAAGGTGGTTGTTGCTCAAATCCAAATGTCCAACGTACTTAGCAGATGACAACGTTTTAGGAATCGAACCTCCAAGGTTGTTGTACGATAAATCCAGGTGTGTAAAATACGTTGTTGGAACAAAAATATCAGGTAAAATTCCCTCTAAAGAATTTCGACTTAAGTTGAGAATATTTAATCCGGAGCTAGTAAGTAGATTCGTAGGGATTGAACCCGAGATCTGGTTGCTGTCTAAGTTTAGAACTGTGAGAATCGGCATGGAACCTAACTCAGCCGGTATTGAACCGGAAATTTGGTTCGTTGATAAATCCAGATCGACTAGCCGGTAAAGTTTTGCTATTGAAGTCGGGATGGAACCAGAAATTTGGTTATTGTTCATTATTGCTCGGCTCAGCATGCTCATTTTTCCAATATCCGATGGGATTTCTCCAGTGAGCATATTGGTGCTGAGATCGAGGTGGATTAATTTTCCTAGGCTGACAATAGAAGGAGGAATAGAGCCAGAAATTTGATTTTCACCAAGGTTAAGGATTGTGAGTTCATTCAATTGACCAATGTCTGATGGAATGTCTCCAGAGATTTTGTTTCCAATGAGGTCAAGAATACGAAGGTTTTGAAGCGAAGCGAGGCAAGTTGGAATCTCACCACTGATGTCCTTCCAATCAGCAACAACAAGAGTTGTGAGCATGTCAAGCTTGCAGAGAGATGGAGAGAGAGAACCTGTCATCTGTAGTGTTAGAAAATACAGTAAATAATATTTGGCACGTACAATAAATATGAATGTGAAAAATAGAGAAATACTGTAAGTATTAAGTAAATAGTGTACTTGTATTTTCAAAGATCTCATAACCATGAATAATAGCTAAATTTAAACTATAGGTCAGTTATATACCTATCGTGTATCTAGAACATCTAAATTTCTTGAAATTAAATAGACGAATCGAACCAATGAAACAAAAATAGTGTAAACATTAAGTGGCGATTTCAATAATGTTAAAGCACTTCAGAATCGTAAATCTATTAAATTTAAATTCTAAATCCGTTTCTACCTGTCATGTAACCAGAACGTCCGGCTTTCTCGAAAATTGGATCTTCGGATTCGCCTCGGAGGACAATATTGGCAACTCGTAGTGTAATGGGATCACAACTTATTCCATACCAGTCCGAGCAATTGGTGCCTGTCCAAGTGTTGAAGATGCCCAAGTAAGGCTCGTTAAGAGCTGCCTTGAAATCTAGCAATGCCGCTATGTCCTCCGGCGAGCAGCCATTAGCGGGAAAGGCAACGGCCACTATAATGAGAGTCACCAAGAACGCTCCTGTGAGTCCCATCTCTCTACTAAAATGGAAAGCTGTGATTTTCTTTAGCTTTTCTCTCTATAAGCAAAGCTGCTAATAATAAAAAAAGCAGAAGCGATGGTGTTTCCTCTCTCCAAAGTCTTTGTGACAACGAAGAATATGAAAGTGGAAGGGATATGAACAGAACTGTTATATACACATTTTCTTCGTAGTAAGATGATTGACACATATTCAAACCAAGTCAACTTCATGTCTAACTTTTAACATGTGCTCCCTTTATTTTATTTTATTTTATTTTATGTGACTGGACACGAGTTATAAAAAAAAATAAAAAAATTTGCTACGTGGCAAAAATATCTTTAGCACTTATAATCTTAAATATATGTTTTAATATTTTTGAGCTTGTAATATATTCTTATTAAGAGTAAAATATAAAATTTCAGATATAAAATTGTATGGTTTTTAAAAAAAATCAAAGAGTGTCACATCAAATGGAATACATTTGGGGATATTTTTTTCCTTTTAATATGAGAAAAATTACCACTTATAGTATTTTTTAGTATAGCTTTTGAATATTAAATTTAAATAAAAGATAAATTAATTTAGTGCCATTAAATTTCAAACATTAGCCACATCTAACTTTTAATAAATGAAAAGTGTCATTTTGTTTCATTTTATATGATATTTTTTAATTTTAAGTACATTCCAAAAAGAATTAATACCTTTATATAAAAAGCTACTTTCTTACATTAGACATTTTATTTACCTATACTAACATATTTTTATAACCATAGAAATGCCATGACATATTTAAAGCTATAAATTTTTAGGGTATTTTAAATATATTTTAAAGAAAAAAATTCTCTTAAACTTTGTGTCTAGTGATTATAACACGAAATGAAGAGAGTTTCTATTAAAAAAAGATTAAGATGAAATGGAAGGACAATATATAAAATTGGGACCAAAAATCCCTGAATGTTTTCCCCCTTTTTCTTATCCTTTTTTTCTTTTCTTTTATTTTGCTTATTTTGAGAGTTGAAGTAATGGTTAGCATTGTTGTATACATATGCACTAAAGGAGGAAGCACATGGGACGGTGTGGTTCATTATGTTCCTAGCAAAAGGAAGTGGGAGCATGTTCCTATTGTTTGCTTTGTAACTTGTATGGATTCGCATTGATCAGCAAACTCCGCATAAACCTGGATCTTCGTTTCTTATCAAATTTTCTTATAGCTGATTCATTTTGCAACAGAATCAATTATATGGTACTTGTTATTTATAATGTTTTTCAAAGTCATTTTAAGGTTTTATAGATCAATTTATCATGGAAGACAGTGTTCTTGCCGCGTTGAATTAGTTCAAGAGTTTCTGACACTTTCTTTTTGATACAGATAAAATTTTCATTATTAGGGGAGAGTGATAAAAATACTATGATAGCACATGGAATGTGCCATATTATACTTTGATTGGGTCTTGATCTGTTAAATAATAGAAAATCAAAATAGCACATTAGCTCATGTGCTATCAGCAGATTGAACTTTTGCATTGGTTTTGAGTACTTTTTTACTTTTACTTAAACTCTCTTACAAAAATATCAGAGTGATAACTTTCAAATTAGAATTTATATCTGAGAAAGGATTCTGGATCTAGGTATATTTTTTGTCACAACTCAAAATTAGAGAGGCGTGATCGGCACTCAATAGAACCTCGCGCTTGTCAAGCGAACCTCTACCTTCAACATAATAAAGGAGGACAAAATACATAATGGAGTTTCGAGCGACTCTATATGATGAAACATTTGCAAATGGAATATCGGACAGCCCTGTATGCAATCATGCAGCAGTTTATATCGAGAGAATACAAAACACGTATGCAACAAATAGCCCATGGACATCATTATATGAGAAGTACTCACATGTAACATATATCACAAACAGCTCATAAACTCTACATAAAACATAAGGATGTCAAGAGAATCTAAAGAATTCATAATACAAAATGAATTGGCACCCGTTAAGCGTCCAAAGAAAGGAAATTACAAAAATGCTGCAACCGAGCCTAGTATGGGCTAACCGCAAAAGAATAGAAGTGGGTCTCTAACTTGTAGAGAGAGGTAGTAAGCGCAAAACTCACTGAATATTATCCATCTTCTCTAAAACTTAGGTTAAGTATTTTTACAGAAAACATGCATGTTTAATACTTCATCCGTTTCAATTTATATGAACCTGTTTGAGTGGGTACGGAGTTTAAAAAAAATGAAAGACTTTTGAAATTTGTGGTCCTGAACAAGTCAAAAATTAGTCCAGAGTATTTGTGTGGTTATAAAAGCTTCTAATTAAGGGCAAAATTGGAAGTTTAAGCTAAATTGTTTCCAAATTTAAAAATGGGTCATTCTTTTTGGAACGGATTAAAAAGGAAATAGGTTCACATAAAGTAGAACGGGGAGTATAAAATTTTTCTTTGAAGTGTGAACATGATAAAACTAGCATAAAATGCTTAATCAAGTACATAATCTTGCCCTTAGACCTTATCATTTTATCAGTTTGGCACTCAAGTGCCCATAAAGCAATTAAAACAGGTACCATATTCTAAACTTAAGAAGGCTTTCCCTCTAGATGGTTACATCTAGTAGTACGCATACATGTTAACGTTCGACCAACCACTAATTCGATTAGGACAACCTACTATAGCACCATACGATAAGGTATGCTAGCTACCTCAAATATGCACTACAATCTGGTTTAGGTATCCAATAACCCGCCATCGATATGGTTCGACTTATTTTCCCACAAAAGTATGTGTGGTCTCTAGATAATCCCCGTTGGAAATCGAGTTTTGATGCTCAACAAATTTGTTACCTGCTGAGTTTCAAACCTTGGGTCCACTCGTGGTTTCTGTACAACTCAGAGTTCTAACGAGAATGGGATTCACTTTCGCGCCCGACAAGGATGTATTTGTACTATGCTGACAAGCCACGTGATAACGGTAGGGATATCTTGGCAAATTTTCATGAGTTGAGATTAGACCAAGATTTAAGGAAGTAGTTATAGAAGTAAATTTTACTTCTTCAAAATATTGAAGGAAAGTCCTTTTACTTCCTTTATTTCCTTTATATGTCTTTTGCATAGGTTGCACACGTACACACAACTGTGAGTTTCTTGTGAGCAGCAACTTTGCAAGAACCAAGAGCAAGACAAATTGAAGAACCAAATTTCAGATATTGATTCGATTTTAGTTTATTTTGTCTTGATCATGTATTAGGTACTTTGAGTTATAATCTTACTTTGCTTGTATCTGAAGCTACTTTTATGAACCCTTGAGTGACAATCGTTTGCTCTAAACTAAGAATCTAGTTTGGAGTGAGTAGCTAGATCAGTTTGATTGTTGGTTGTCGAGTGACTACATTTAGTCCCCTAGGTTCTAAAAAAAATTTGGAGTGAAGTTTTTGAGGAAAATCTTAGATTTGGGTCATGATATTTACTGCCTTGAGTAACGAGGTTTTTCACATAAAATTCATGTCTTCTTTATTTTTCGTATTTATTAGTTACAAGATTTGTAAGAACCAGTTTGAGAAACAGGTTCGGAGGAAAATATAAAATTCTAGTAGAAATTTCAATTGGCCGATACACCATTCATCGCTCCTCTAGTTTATAAGTGGTGCATAATTTGAAGAATTGTTATTAGAGCAGGCTCTCAATTTTGAGGCTTACTCCTTTGAGAGATTAAAAAAATGAGTGCACCACCAGGGATTAATGAGGGTCATGTTGTGATTCTCAGATCAATATGAAGATTATTTGGGAGGAAAAACAACTCTATTTCACAAGAATAGAATTACAGAGAATTTACACCAAGAATTTCTCTCTACAAAAAAAACCTCACCAAACTCTCTTTTTGTTCTCACAATCTCTTCCTGGATTGTATTTCAATTTCTCTGGATTGATTTTTCTGTGTAAAACATAAGGCTCTATTTATAGCCTTAAAGAAGGTGGTTGGTGGTTGAATTCTTCATTCAACAATGGAGGCTTCAACAATGGTGGCTTCTAGAATGGGTTGGTGGCTTCAAAAATGGTGGGCTTCTTGAATTGGTAGTTGGCAGCAGCTGAACTTATCAATTCTCCCCCTTCAGCTGCATTCCAACGCATCTACTATTTGAAAGTTATTCCAACTATGTCTCTGCACAACTCTAACTTTTCTTGAGTGACCACCTTTGTTAACATGTCTGCTGGATTCTCCTTCGTATGGATCTTCACTAGTTTCAACAGTTGTTGATTCATCACCTCGCGTATCCAGTGATAGCGAATGTCGATGTGCTTTGTCCGAGAATGATACATTGAGTTTTTGCTTAAATCAATTGCACTTTGACTATCACAATGTATCTTATACTCTGTNTGTCAAACTGCAATGGTAGTGGATCTGGACCAACTTTTTGGGCACTGGAACCTCTTTCATAAGACATTGTGGGCTTTTCAATGTCTTCAATTGTCTGGTTTTCGTGGAATACAACATCCCTACTTCTGATCACCGTCTTCTGTATTGGATCCCATAATCTATACCCAAATTCTTTATCTCCATAGCCTATGAAGATACATGGTATAGTTCTACCATCAAGCTTCTTCCTGAGCTCCTTGGATACATGTGCATGTGCTAAACAACCGAATACCCTTAAGTGAGAATATGAGGGATTCTTACCAGACCATATTTTCTCTGGAACCTCAAAATTCAACGGGGCTGATGGTGACCGGTTGATTAGGTAGCAGGCGGCACGAACAACTTCTCCCCAGAATGTGTTAGGCAGCTTTGCCATACTGATCATACTTCTGACTCTTTCTATAATTGTCCAGTTCATTCTCTCGGCTACTCCATTGTGTTGTGGGGTGCGTGGGACCGTCTTTTCATGTCGAATCCCTTGTCTCTTGCAATAGGAATCGAACTCCTTGGAAGTATACTCGCCTCCATTATCTGAGCGAAGGCATTTTAATTTCTTTCCCGTTTCACGCTCTACCATGGCATGAAATATCTTGAAATAATCAAAAGCCTGGTCCTTTGTCTTTAAGAAGTACACCCACACCTTTCGAGAAGCATCATCAATGAAAGTCAGAAAATACCTATTGCCGCCAAGTGACTTCTCCTCCATGGGA